AGTGTCCCTGGCCACGGCCACTGCTACATGGTGACAAAACCCTGGCGAAGGAACCAGGAGGGAAGAAACAACCTGGCTTGAGAGCCTACAACACAGCCAGCACGCCCTGGCAGGCACCAATGCACCTTGCACACACAAATTAAAGCAATTCCCACTCCCTCGTTATAAAAACCATAGGGTCCATCCTGTTTGCCCATGGTCAGGGAGGTGAGATGAGCCACAGCACCGCAGCAGACAGCTCCCTCCCCCTCCAGACTTCTGCCAATCATCTCTGCAGAACCCCTCCTTGGGAGAGGCAGGGCCCTGCGTGGAGGTGGGTGCCCCAGGCACCCACTGTGGGCACTGCTGGGATGTCCTATTCACTGCCAGAGCCTGCCTCTGAGCTCTGAGGGGAAAAGCTGATGGAGAAGGGCAGAGGCTGTGCAGAGCTCCAACCGAGCCGCAGGAGCCCACTCCCACCAGAGCACATTGTGCCACATGGCTCCAAAAAGCAAGTCCTCCTAGCCAAGAGTACAGAAGTGCCTTCCAGCCACTTCACCTACAACAAACCATGAGGAACGATGAGGGCAATGGTTGTAAACTCAAAGAGGGTAGACTCAGATTAGATATAGGGAAGAAATTCTTTAGTATGAGACACTGGTGGTGAGACACTGTAACAGGTTGCCCAGAGAAGTTGTGGTTGCCCCATCACTGGAAGTGTCAGGCTGGATGGGGCTTTGAGCAACCTGGTCTAGTGGAAGGTGACTCTGCCCATGGCAGGAGGCATGGACTAGACAATCTTCAAAGGTGTCTTCCAATCCAAACCATTCTGTGATTCCATGAATCAGTAACATTTGGTATAGCAGACTACTTGGTCATGCCCACCACCGTGGAATCTGTGGGCAGCACTGCATGCCCCTGTGCCACCAGGCTAGCTGGAAGGGCAGCCTTGGGTGACAGCTGCCGCTAGGCAGGAGAAGCCTGGCAGGACGCTGCCAACTGAAGCCCCCTCCATACCTTATCTTTCCCTTTTTGTAGAGAAAGAAGATCCCTCCAAGCAACAGGAGACTGCAGAGTAGCCCCAAGAATGTCTCCGCTGTGGTCCTGCTCAGTGCGTGGCTCCCCACTTGCCCACTGAAAGTGCTACCTGTGGACACCTCCAGTTTGCTACTTGAAATGCCGAGAGCTTCACCTGGGAACGGCAGGAAGAAATAGGGGTGAGGACTGGACACGACAACACATCCCCACACTGACACACAGAGGGCAGAGGGAGCCTGTGGTTGGGTCTGGCACTGCTTGCCTGGTTGATGGCACTTCCCTGGGGACAAGGGGGGATGCACAGCTGGGTGGACTCAGCTAGGACAAGCCCAGGTGGGTCTGCTACCCACACAACAACCACCAGCTCCCCTGGCTGTGACCTACATGCTCATCAGCATCTGCCAGCTTACATGGCTGCCTCCACACACAGTGTTCTGGCTGGAAAGTAGCTCTGCAGAGAGGGACCTGGGGGTCCTGGCGGGCACCTAGCTGACATGGCATGACATGGCAAGACGATGGTATCCTGGGCTGCATGAGGAGGAGGGCTGCCAGCAGCTGAAGGGAGGTAACCCTTCCCCTCTGCTCTGCCCTGCCGAGACACAGCTGGAGTGCTGAGCCAGGCTCTTCTCAGCAGTGCCCAGTGACGGGGCAAGAGCCAAAGAGCACAAATGGAAGTACAGTAAAGTCCACTGGAATATAACAAAAAAATGCTTTACTGCAAAGGCAGTCAATCATGAGGACAGGTTGCCTGGCGATGTTGTGGAATCTCCATCCTTGGAGAAATTCCAAACCCAACTGGACATGTGGGCTGCTGGCAGGGCACAAGGAGCTCCAGAGGGGAGTGGGCTTAGGGCCACCCTGTGGGGACCCACTGAGGAGGCTGGTGGCGTTACCGTGCTGGGCGATGTCCTCCATGATGTCTGCTGCCAGCTGCGCTGCAGTGGTGCCATTCTGCGCTCCGGCTCCATCATCCACCAGCACGATTTGGATGAGAGGGGTGGGGCTGTGGGGTAGGACTCCCAGGAAGGTCTGAGCTTTGTGCACCTTGGACATGGCCATCCGCACGCCCGCGTACCGGGGCTTTCCAAAACACAAGGGGGGACACAGAGCCCATCAGAGAGGTAGGCAGAAATTAGTCACCTTTACAGACAGCCATGATAGATGCAACAGCAAGGCCCACTACAGATCTCCACGTGAGCCCCACCACAGAGCTGCCACCCCTGTTACCACAGTGCTGTTGTGTTTGCCAGATGAGAGGTTCACAACTGCCCCCTCTCTCAAGCTGTGACCAGCACCTGGCCCACAGCGTCCCCCCGTGGGGGCCAGCATGCCAACAAAGCCATTTCACATAGCACACCCATTAGATGCTGCACTAAGACGTGTGTGTCTGTAAGCTGGGCAGGCAGCAGGCTTTCACCTCGGGATCAAGAAAGCAAAACTCTGGTATTGCCCCCCCGGTGTGACTCAGAGCATCCCACCCAGCAGCTCCCAGCCAGAGGAGGGATGTCGTACTGGGTCTGACGAGCAGCAGCTTGAAGTGATGCTGTGCAGAGTATGCATCTGAGCGTTGACCAGTGCTGGGTACCCACCCAGTGTCTGCCTGCTGGGGAGTCAAAAAACAGCCCAGCACCGTGAGCCAGCTCCTGGGGGCCATGGGATCCCCTGCTGCAGCTTCACATGATCCTAGCCGCATGGGCAGACCTCCCATATTATATAGACCTGACCTCCTGGCTGACCTCCTGTGTTTTCTAGATCAGGGTTCCCAGCAAGCCCCCCTGCACCCTTTCCCCATCTGCACGCTGGCAACAGCTCCTGCCCCCATTGAGAGGGGCAGCATGGCTGTGCTGGGGAGCAAGGGAGGCTGTGCCGGCCCCTACTGCACACTGGCACATCTGGGAGGTCAGATGTGGGGAGTGAGGCTGAACCCCCTGCATTGCTGGTACCGTGTGCCCCCCCCAGGCAGCCCCCCCAGCACCGAGCCATCAAAGGCATGGCTGGTGGCTTGTGATTTCATTAGCTCCTCCCAACCAGGTGGGCTGATGTACCTGGCTCAGCAAGGCTTGGACCAGTCTGTCCCGGTACTGCTCCAGGTCAAAATCAGGAGTGAAATCCAGATTAATGGTGGCTCCTACAGCCCAAAACCAGACAGACATGACATTGTCACCAAGACCATGCAAAGAGTCACCACAGCAGTACAGCTCGAGCTGCCACAAATGGCACTGGGGTCTCTCCAGTACCTCTGTGCAACTGGTCTGGCTGGGCTCAGGAGAGGTGGCTCCACAGCCCTGCCCGAGCAGCACTGTCCCAGGAAACCTCTCCTTCTCTCACTCGTCTTTTTATCAACCAGGCTTGATGAAGGCCTGTTGGTTTACACCATATTCTGGAGAGAAGCTTTCCCTGGGAAGCTTTCTCCCACATATCCCCCTGGGAAGCTCTGTGTGTACCTGGTGTCAGGGCTGCAGTTCAGCAATGGTACCCTGGTTTAGGAGGGAAGGCAGAGAGGAGGGGACATCTCTGCTCCCTGTACCACTGCACTGCAGTCGTTGAGTCAAATATTTTCCTTGGAAATAATGCAAGCAAGCATTTGTTGAAATATCAAATTCTCCTAAAGTCTTTAAGCAGCTCTGCTGTTATGAGCATGTTGGAGAAACATGGTGCCATTTTAAATCTTTTGTTATGATACAGCAAATATGATATAGCAAATATGATATACTAAATATCTAGGCACAATTGTGCATGAAATATTCCCCGTAGCAACCTTCCAGGTAGATTGAGGGAGAAGCACCCGTTGCAGAGGGAATGCTGTCGATCTGCATGTTTTTATTTTAAATGAAATGAAACTTGCTGTTGGAAAGCTGGCATTACAGTGAAAAAGGTACATTTCCTCCGAGTGTTTTCTGCTGCATAAACTCAGCAGAACCCTATTAGCTTGACGAGCTGTGACATCCTGACAGGATAAACCAGAGGCAGGGACAAAGGGCTGCAACTCAGAACAGGCTCTCAAAAGCCAGGCTGATGCTTCAGAGAGATGCCCTGGGAGGGTGGCACGGGGGATGCAGATGGCACCTATGGGCGGGACCTGTGGGAGCAGTGATACAGCAAAACTTCCGCCCACCAGCGGCACCGTTCTCCCCCAGAGCCAGGGGAAGGGGGCTGGGGCAGGGGGCACGGCGGGGAAGGGGAACAGA